TGAGAGCAAGTTTGAAGCAGAAGGAACAAGTACAAAGCCCCCAAGAGGGATAATCTTGGCATGTTAGAGACCCATAAGGATCCTAGACAACAGTCAGAAGGGGGCGTGGTGGGAGATAAAGCTGACTTGGGTCGGGAAAGGATTTCTTAAACACCCTCGCCCCCTTCTCAGAGTTGAGATGAAGGAGAAGGACACGGACCAAGCCAGGCACGGCTTCTGGCCATGGTGAAAGGTTGTATGTTATTCCAGGTGTAACGGGAAACACACAGTTTTCAAGAGGGAAGATATTTTTCAAATTTTACTTTCTTTTATTTTCTGGCTTCTGTGTGGAAAAAAAGAGACATAAGGGGCAGGAGCCCTCTTACAACTCTTTTGTAAGGCAGAGTCCCAGGTGCACGAAGGTGACTTGGAATTGGGTGGCAGTGGGACAAGCAGACAGGTATTGTGGGATGCTTCCTAGAGACTGTGAGGTATAGGAGTTACAGTCAAGAGCTACTTGGAAAAGTTCGGTAAGAGCAGAGAGAAATTACTCCCTGGGAATGTTCTAGGCCAGTGATTTAGTGTGCATGTGAATCCTTTAGGGATCTTTGTAAAGTGCAGATTGTGACTCGGGAGGTCTGAGGTGGGGCCTGGGATTCTGCTTGTCTAACCAGTTTCCAGCTGATGTCACAGCTTCTGGTCTGAGAACCACACTCAGTAGCAGGATTCTAGCACAAGTGACCTTAACTTACATATTTAGTTGTATTTCCTACTACTGTCCTGTGCATACCATGTACAGACCGGTACTGAAACAGTGGCTACATGTTGCTAAATTTAATTAAGCTAAAATAAGACATTCAGTTCCTTAGTTGCACTACTACATCTCAAATGCTCAAAGCCACAGGTGGCTAGTGGCTGCTCTATGGGACAGCCCATGGATGACGAACTTGCCCTTATTAAAGAAAGTTTTACTGGGTGGCGCTTCTCCAGGCAGAGGAAACTATTTCTAGTTCTCTACGCCTCCTGTTACCATCTTTCCTTATTCTGTCTTTTCCAAGGAACGCACGTGTTGTCTCTGTTCGAATCAAATGCATCTTTTAAGAACTGTCTCAAATCTGTGTCTTCTACGGAGCTTTCCTGGAACTGAAACTGGGTGAGCTGCTTCCTTCCGATCTGCGTATTTGGTTTTTCTCCGCGATGTGTTTCTACTGTATTTTGTCCACCTCGTATTCAAGGTCCCCAGCCCTTTTCTCTGGTTGTAGAACCCCACCTTCTATGGGTGTGCACGTTGGGGGGCGGGGCAATTTCTCGCTCACGCGATTCCGCAGGATTCATGCAAGCCGAACGCTGCCCTCACCACGGTCATTAGCACATGAGCCAGAGGAAGCGACGTCAGTGCCAGGACATTGGCTGAATAATTGAAGGCGCTCTCTCAGCGGCGCACCCAGGAGATGAGGACAGATCCTGGACGACGTCATCTCGTGCTTGGCTCTGCCTGTCTCTGGAGCTCCTTCCGCCCTCCACCGTTCCTTACCGGGAACAATCCATCTCCTCGTTCCGCTTCAGCCGGGGGGCCACGGTCATTAGCACATGAGCCAGAGGAAGCCAGTGACGTCAGTGCCAGGACATTGGCTGAATAATTAAGGGCGCTCTCTCAGCGGGGCACCCAGGAGACGAAGACAGATCCTGGACGACGTCATCTCGTGCTTGGCTCTGCCTGTCTCTGGAGCTCCTTCGACCCTCAACCGTTCCTTACCGGGAACAATCCATCTCCTCGTTCCGCTTCAGCCGGGGCCTTGCTGACGCTCGGCCACCCCCCGTCCGGCCGTCCGTTCAGCCGGCCAGTCGCGCTCGCGCTCCCTTGGTTGCCGCTCACGGGTTCGCAGGAGTCCGCGAGCAGATACCTACCGAAACTACGTGTTTCTTTACAAGTCTTGATAGTCAAATTATTTTGACGTGTTGATAATCAAATGTGACGGAGCCAAACACAATTTTCCTTATATGCTAATGAGATGCTTATGGAGAGTTCTCTCCCAAGTTTTTAGCTTGGCACATGCATACTACAAATTGACTAGCCTCTGTACTACATCACCCCAAACAAGCCCAAACTCCCCAGTTAGCACGTTCTCACTTGCCCGGCTAAGCCACAGGATCCTGCGGCGTATTTGTCCTTCAGCCGCCCCACCTCCCGCCTTTGAAGGAAGTCTCTGAAAGCCACCGCCCTGGGCGCTGGGTGGGACTGGCGGGGTGCCTCCAGATCCCTTCTCCCTCCTGATCAGCTCACGGGAAACTTCTTGGCTTCCTGTGTCGTCTTCCTCTCACTACTGTCCTGTAATATACGGAATCTGACCAGACCCTGCTCCTCCAATTGGCTCAGAAGGCCCCACAGGTACCACACTGTCCGGAAGGTTCCCACACCCCAAACTCAAAGGTGGCCACAAACCCAGACGAACTCATCACCACCCCCGCCTGCCACTTGCTCTCTAAAACTGTATTTCCCAGCTAGCACTGGGCAGAAGGTGGAGTGATTCATTCTTGAAGGAACAAAGAACAGACCCTCACTCTTCCACCCTACCCCTCAAAATGTACTAATTCTTGTTGTTTACAAAATAAGACTTAAGCAGCACTCTGGAGGACTACGTACATGGTAAGATTTATCTTTTATTAGAGATCTTATATTACATATTCCCAAAAAGATATAAAATCTTCCAAGAGAAAAATATCAAAACCTATCTGATTCCAAGATAAGCAACATAATCAAAATGAAAGCAAAGATTTTCTTCCAAAGGAATGTGAAAACATTTCGACACAAGTACAACAAAGACATGGGAAGGTAATTAAAATGTTTCACAACACATTTTATAGCATTTTATTTTAATCAGTATTTGAAGAAAACAAGAATGCCGAGTTCTCAAACACTGCAGGTAAAAGCTCAAATTACCAAAAAAAAAAAAAAAAAATCACAGGAATGACCTACTCGCTCAACTGAACATCTGCAGTAACAAATGTAATAAAACCCAAGCAAACAAATATGCCACCGAGATCACAACTGAAATGTATGGTTTTTAGGTGTGCCAGAGACACGAAATTAATCAGTTCGTGACCACAACCCAAAGCAAAAGCATCCTCTCCTCATTTCCCTGATGATTTATTCTAAAAATAAAAAGCAGAAATTTGCTGGTTTAAAGAGAATTCCTGCTTTACCTGTGAACGGTGGCAACACACACTAAGACCCCGACTGACATGGGACAGATCCATCTCAAACAACCAGAAGTGGCAAAACCACTGTTATTGCATCAAGATTTTTTATTTCAACTGATCAGAATTTCCACAATGATTAAGCACACCCACTTAACCACAGAACACAGTGAACTCCCAAAGGAAGGTTTTACATTTAAGATGCAATGAAAATACTGATCTTATTCCTGGGATTTGCTTCTGGCAATCTTAACATCTGTAGATGTCCACAAAAAGGAAGTGTTTATTTTTTTTTTCTTTTAGTTGTTTATCCCCCAAAATGAGGAAGGAAACTTACAGTACATGTTTATTGCATGAAATTACTCCCTTATAATATCTTCATCAACACCAGTATTGTTTCCTTAATTATTAAAGGCGAACAAAATTTATGAACTTAACATAACTTAGCAATAATTGTAGGAGCTGCATCTTGGTAAAAAAAAAAAAAAAAAAAAGGATGATCATCAGACTACCTGGTGAAACAGAAATTAGGTTTCAACTTCTCTATAAAGATGCTGGAATGGCAGGAGGTAAAAGGAAGTTTAAAGTCAGAGAATACTAAATTTATTAGGTAACACAAAGAGAATTTTCAAAAGTGTACATACTCAGTGAATCCTTTCTATCCTAAAACTGAATATTCTAAATGTTTCTAGTGTTGCTTCAGTGTTAATGTCATGTTAATCATGATCCCAAATAAATTTTATCAAAAGTACTGTAATGGCACATAGGCTTGGAACTTCACTTTGAGGTTAGCACGTACAAAAGTTTGGAATTCACTCAACACACATGTTCTTTAATAAAAGAAATCAGGATGAGCTACCTATAAGTGGATTTCAAAACAGGGTCCCTTTTAAAGCATTCTTTCATAGAGTTACCTCCTGTGAAATGGAAACAGTGTATGGATTTTGCATGTCACAAAATCCTTGCTTCAAGCTGCCATCTTCTTGGCAGCAGCGGATTTTAATGAACAGTACTTTTTCTTCCTTGTTTTGTTTTCTGACATCTCAGTACATTCAAATAGTCAAAATGTTTAGAATAACATCACCACAAATTTAATGAAACAGATCAGAATGTGGCCAGCATTGTCAGGCAAAACCGATAACACTTTACGTGTCATAGAAAGTACCCACCTCCTCCCCACCCCCGCCCTCTCCCCCTTCCTCAGTCATATGGACACCAAAAGATTTAACAAGACTTATAAAAAAATAAGGCACATTTATTTTGATATGGTTATTTTTAAAATGGAAAACCCCTCTCCGAACATCTGTATTCAAATGAGCTGTGTAAAAAGACACCTTGTGGTACCTAAAAGAGGTGATGGTACCTATGGGATTGCTTTTTCTATCTTAGTGACAATGGAATAAATTGCACCTATCCCACATTGTCAAGTAATGAAAATATGCCTCTTTTTCTACTATTGAATGATTCAAAATCTGCTATTTCTGGAAATACAAAGAGTGAGAAGGGAGGGGTCAAGTGGTACATTAGAAAAAGGTGTGAAGATCAATGATGTACAGATATCATAAGGGTTGATGGATTGCACTTTTCCACATATTTCAATACACAAAATTTTTCGAATGCGTATGAACGATTGCAACCATTTTGGCCATTAGCTATTACCCTTCAGCTTTTTATTCCATTTTGGTAAAAATGGGTATTTTTGTAAAACTAATGAAGGATCAGCAACATGAATACTTATAACAATCTCTTCACAACTCCCAACACAGATATAGTTAGTTAGCATTTAACCTGAGATACAATCTGTGGAGAGGTTGTTTTAGACATTTCTTCCTTCATTGTTGCATCGATTCATACTGATGGTGGTGATTCATGGATGGAACTTAAAGAAAAACTGGCTATAGCATGGCTTTTTTTTTTCTTTCTGTACTAGTAAAAAAAAATAATAATAATAATTATAATAACAATCACAGAATTCATGTCCTCACAGTAGCCAGAAGCTAAAATAATGTGCTTCCTTATTGCACGTCAAACCAAGAAGTGTATAAAAGACAATGCTTCCCAATCCAAATTTGAAAGCCAGGTTCATCTCAACTGGATTCGGAATGTGCTGATTTCCATGGGACTCAAGTTGATCTCACTTATATTTCGGGCGTCTGGAGGTGAATGCATCAAGGATAATGATGAAGGTATGAGACTTGCGACAGTAAACATGCTAAAAAGCTTCTGTACCAAAATCTAGAAAATAAATGATAAAAAAAAATTGCACAGTTAGGTCAACTTTGAAGAAAGATTAGTAGCACATCTATATATTTATTCAGTGGAAAATAGTAGGAGAGTAAAACAGTGTATTTGAAGTTTCCTTTTAATGATAAAAAGAGGAAGAGGAAGGAGATTAGATACAGCTATGTGTGCCTGGACACACAGACCACCCTGGGAGGGACACCTAGGAGAAGTGTAACCAGGAGAGGACAGCTCACTCTACATTCTTCTTCTGAATTTCTTGAGAACTTATCACGTGCAGGGGCCACTTTTTCAATAAAAGAAAACACATCTATGAGCCAGCAAGCTTTATAAACATCCGTATCCTCTTACACCCAACATTTACACCTAACAGTTGTCGTTCTTCTTGTTCCCAAAGAGCTGAGAGAAAGGACACAGGCTCCTCATGTCAGTGAGTCCCATTTTCAGGGTTGGGGGGTTGCTGAGAAAGTACTACCCTCATCCCATGTCTCTCTGGACCATATAATCCCCTTAAAACTTGACGCCTTAATGTCTATATACAAATGCTTACAACCAAGTACACTCACATCATCAGTAATAAGGTAAAGCATAAATATCATGAAAAACAAACCCCAAACCATCAGTGCTTTCTTCGCACCAATTCCACGGAGGGCATGATACGAGAAATGAAGAAGCTTATCTGCCTAAGTGGATTTTGACCCCCTACCATATTGTCTTTTCTCTCCTTTTCAGACCCTATTCACATTCTAGTTGGTAGGGTTGGAAATGAATCTCTTAAGTCTGATCTACAGGTTATCTGTGAGGTTTTGGAGAAGAGCTGGGTCAGCTGAGCTGCCCCGTGGGGCAGACCTGCCTGTGTGCCATCCAGCTGTCTTCTCTGAGCACAACCTGCTCAGAGCCAGAGGCAGAAGGCTGGAGGTTCATTTCCTTCCAAGGAGAGCCTGAGGGAACTATCAGAAAGACCAGCTCAAAGGAGACAGAAAAACTGGGCAGCCGGCAGGTCAGCCTGAAGACCTGTTTGGCTGGCACAGTGAGGACTCCTATGCAAATCTGTCTTGATCAGGAGATCTAGACCCTCATTTCCCCTGGGACAACAACTGACTGGAGCTAAGTAAGGTTGCTTCGGGGCCGTGGTGAAACTCCCCGACTGGCCAGTGTCACCACTTCCCTACCCCACCCCACCCCACCTTTAGTTATTATAAAACCTGCTTTTGCCCCTCTGAGACTTCATGGACCTAGATCCTACATGAGCATGTGTGAGAGAGGAGGGAATATTGGGGGATGGGGGGTGGGGAGAGGATGTTTTGTCGGCTGGCAACGGAAGGCCTAGGAATGGAGGAGAATGTTGCCCCTACACGTGCCCATGTTCCAGACGTGCATTTTGATGCTGACAAGGAGAAGAGATCAAAGGTTGAGAAAGTGCTTTCTTAAGATGGAGAGACTTGAGCTAAATTACAGCAGCTGAGGGGAATGAGTCCACGAAGAGGCAATGAAACATTATCTTATTGTCAGAATGATTAGCAGAAAGCAAGGATTTCAAAGCACATGAAATCAACAAGCAAAAACCACTTTTCAGCTCACCTTTCCCTGGGTTGTGGAACAAAGCAGCCCCGTGTCTCTGCTCGAGAAGCGGCAGTCAAACCCCTTCCTGTGGAGGATCAAGGCTGCCTCATCGGAATGCTTGCCATCCACCTGCAGATGAGCATAGAGTAACAAGACGCCACAGCGACATTAAGGCAAATAGCGACACCACTGTATACTCCACTGTTTTAAAGTCAGCGTCCCCAAACCAAAAATGCTCACTTTATTTAGCAGTGAAACCAGGAAAATTCATTTCCCCTCCAGTCCCACGTTCACTGTCACACCTGCTACATCCCCTCTACCTCCCCCACAAGGAGGCAGGTGACAATATGTTTTAAGTCACCTCATGCCCTGGTTTCTGGCACAGTCCCCAAGGACCTGCGTGTCCTTTTGTCTATATGCCACATACTGTTTTATCAAAGTTTCTTCAAATAAAGCATTTACTTTTTTTTTTAATTTAAATTCAATTACTTAACATATAATGTATTACTGGTTTCATGTCTAGGTAGAGGTCAGTGATTCATCAGTCTTATATAATACCCAGTGCTCATTACATCACGTGCCCTCCTAAATGTCTATCACCCAGTTACCCCATTCCTGTAACCCCCCCCCTCCAGCAACCCTCAGTTTGTTCCCTATGATTAAGAGTCTCTTATGGTTTGTCTCCCTCTCTGGTTTTGTTTTGTTTTACTTTTTCCTCCCTTCCCCTCTGATCCTGTTTTGTTTCTTAAATTCCACATACGAGTGAGATTATATATGATAATTGTCTTTCTCTGACTGACTTATTTCGCTTAGCATAATACCCTCTAGTTCCACCCACGTCGTTGCAAAGGGGCAAATAAAGCATTTAATTTTTATTTATTTGGTTTTTAACATACACGCCAGCTGAATAAAGTGTACCTGAATTTAGTCCTTATCTGGTCATTGAATGATGTATCATCCATCTCAAAACTGAAACACACTTCTTTATTGAATGCTAATTTTTGCTAATTGCATTAACATTTTTAATCTTTAATGCACTGGTTCATTATTTTTATATAAAAGACATTTAAATTGAGTTAGTTATGCTTATCACTTGCTAGGCCAACCACATTTATTAGCTTGATGTATCATTTAAATTCACATTACAGAAGCTATTCTTCTTGTGCAAAGAGAAAAATACTAAACATGACAAGTAAGCTACAGGGATCAATATATACTTTCTTGCAGTAAAATTTCTTGCATCCATTTAAGTAAAGATGCCAGGAGTGCTCTGAATATTTTAAGTTACAATTCTCTTAATAAATTTTATGTTTCCTCAAGGGGGGAGACGCTTCTGATAATAAGCAAAATAAATTAAGAATCCTTGGACGAATTAAGAAAGGGACAGCTATTCAAAGGAGTTCAGTGTGCTCAGCACTGACCTGTGATGAAAATGATCCCTTTTTCTCCTCTGTGGCCACAGATACGAATATGTCCAAGTTCTTAATCATCTTCACTGGGGGATATGATTTTTAAATGTGCCACAGAGACATCTTTTCTGAGGAGGAGCTGTCAGCATTCTCACCACTGATTTGACATTAATGTGCCTCAACAATTTAAAGCTGGCCTCACCTCGGATTCTTCGCTGGAATAACCTGCTTTATGATATTTCACACTGGTATTCTGCAGTGGTACTGCTAAGATTTTGTTTGAAGGGAGAGGAAAAAGTCATTTAAGGAATTCTGAGTCATCACAGGACCAACATGATAAACATAGCAAGTTTAAATCATATGACAATGTTTTCTAATAAAATTTCAAGGTGGGGCGCCTGGGTGGCTCAGTTGGTTAAGCGACTGCCTTCGGCTCAGGTCATGATCCTGGAGTCCCGGGATCGAGTCCCGCATCAGGCTCCCTGCTCAGCGGGGGGTCTGCTTCCCCCTCTGCCCTCTTCCCTCCTGTGCTCTCTGTCTCTCCTTCTCTCTCTCTCAAATAAATAAATAAAATCTTAAAAAAAAAATAAAAAAATAAAATTTCAAGGTGTTTCACACAGTCCCAAAAGAGCACGAAAAGAGCACAGTAAAAAAAAAAAAAAAAAAAAAAAAAAATCCTTCATTTATGACATACATAAGGTCTCCAGAAGGACAAGGACAAGTCTCTCGTGTGCTAAGTGTATAGGCTTGGAATAGTTACTGATCACCTAAGCATCAGTTTCTTTGCCTATAAAATGGACCTAATGCAGGTTTCCCCTCTTCATGGAGTCATGGCGTCTAGTAAGACGTTGAAAATACGAGGTATGGTGGCTTAGCTTATAGGACAGAATGTGTTGGTGTAGAAGCTACAGAAAATGGATCAGAACCTGGGCTGGGAGTCAGGCAGCTCGACATCTAGATCCTAGCTCTGCAATTTCCTAGATGCTTTTAGCAAAACCTGGTTTCTCCTGTAGCATAAAATGGAGATGAAATTCAATTGTGTAACAGAGACTCAGCCCAGTGTCTGCAGCAGAGGAAGCCCTTGGTACATTTTAGCCATTATTCTTTCTGTCATTGTAATCTATCAGATAAGTACTGGTGATTATTTTCCCAATAGCTCACTTAATTTTTTATTCACAAATTTTCTTTAGTGACATTATAACTCTGTAGCTGAGGAATCAGAGACCCTCCAAACTGTATGTCAACAATTATGCATCAAAATCATAACATAACAAAATCATGACTAAGTCCCAATTCAGATTCACTATTTACATGGTCTATTGATGAGGCTCTTTTAAAAGCACTTATCATTATAACCTGAAGCATTTAGCCATTTTAACTCACTAAACCATCCTTACAAAACCACCAGACAGCAGGCTTTGTGAAAATTCCTGCAACACATCTGCTCTTGAAATAATGAATGTGTGAGGCCTTTACCAGACTGGAGGTGATAATAAAAAAAAAAGCAAAAGGAAGCATCTTTGGAATTTTGCCATTAGTTTTACAAGAGATTTAAACAATGCAAAAGTAGAAATTGAAGTCATAAAGAGTAATTTTCACTGATGGAAAAATGTTACACTTTCTCTAAAAACCAAAACTGCATCACTTTCGTAAGGACCAGAACACCAACTGAAATAGCAATCATCTTGTCCAAGTTTTTAAAAATTAAATATTCATGAAAGTATCAGTTTTCAAGCAAAAATACCTGAGGCAAAGCAGCAGTTTTTCAGTTTCAAAGTCTGTCTCGTCATTTTATTTCCAAGAAAACTGTTTTTCAAAGTAGGGAAACTGTGAATTTAACTTGAATATGCATGCAAGAAAACAGATACCTTCACAAAAAAGATGCTGTTCACTCGAGGAGAGTAAACAGACTCTGAAAGACCTGTTTTTATACTCATTAATGTATGAGTACTATCCGGACCTCAGAAAAAAAAGGGGGGAGGGGGGAGGGAAGAAAATTGACCAAGTTTGAAATTGCACCAAGCACTATGCTAGGTGAACTTCAAATCAAGTGTCTCTGTATACAGCTCAGATCACATTTGAGACTGAATCCCCTCGGGAAGGCCTGGGTGTTCCGAAGTCACTTGGAGAATCCACCGCAGAACTTACTTCCAGGGGATAAAGCAACCTGTGGCTCTGAGGCTAAGCAGGGCCCGGGAGGTTTCTCTGGCAGTGGGGTGGGGGGTGGGGGGCGGAAGATGGTGCGGCTGGCAGAACGACGCCATCAAGGCTAGAAGAAGCTGGACTGGGGGCAAAACACACGAACCAGTCCTGTGTCTGCAGATACGTCATTTAACCTCTCAGAACTCAGAAAACTCGGGAGACTCGTGAAGCGCCCCTCTGAGGATCAAGTCCCAACCACAATGACAGTAACAGTAATCGCAGCTAACACTTTTTGAGCACTTGCCGTGTGTGGGACCCTGTACAGAATACTTCTCACGGAAGAACTCAATTATCTCATAACAGCCTTTGAAACAGTGGAGGTGGTATACAAGTTTGTATTATTATATTTAAGTGCACATGAGCATCGCAATCATGAAGCATGCCTTCTCATAGTCAACTAGCAATGATCACTGACCGACCCTACATTAGTCCTTCATGACCTTTCCCACAGATGGTGGATCCTTCTGAGGGTGTCCCATCATAACTGAGTGGTCAAGAGAAAAACAGGCAGAGTATTCCCTAACATTTTCAGCACTCTCACTCCCCTTTGTTTCCATACAAGAGGAGTAGAAGGTTCTGGGCGGGGATCTGGAGTCAACATGCTGGGGTGCGCCTCTCAGCACACCATTTACTGGCTGCATGACCTGGGAAAGCTACCTACCATCTTTAGGTCAGCTAGTTTCCTCTTCTGTAACAGGGGGGCACAATATTGCCTACCTTCACAGTACTGCTGGGAGAGCTAAATAAGGCTCTCTTTATAAAGAAAACACTCAGCATAATGCCCGGCACACAATTTTAGGTATCTTATTAACTTTTCAAAAAATATATACGGAATACAAGTCAAGGTGACACCGAGATTTACTTTGGGAATAAAATTCAACCTCCAATTTATAAAAAAAAAAAAGTGCCTACATTTTATTTCATTTTTAGCAACAATCACCACTGCTCATGACTGACCGCTCACTGTTGACAACCTTCATTCATCACGCACTCAGTGCTTAGTACGTGCCAGATACTGTTCTAAGTGCTCTGTAAACATTAACTCATTTGATCCCTAGGACACCTCTGAGGTGTGTCCTGTTATCATGGCCACGTTGCGAATGAGGCAAATGGGAGAATGAGGGGCTGTGTGCTAAGCAAACTGGCCGGTAAGCACAGGTGATGTGCTCAAACAAAGGCAGCGGGACTCCAAAGTGCTCTACCAGCTTCGCCCCCCTGCCTTCGCGCTAGCTATGGACTGGCGCTCAAGGACACCCGCTAGGAGGGGAAAGAGAAAGATCACTTTTAATGTAACAGAAGAAAAGGCTATAACCCGAAGGAGCTCACTCTCTGATCTGAGCTTAGAAAAAGGGAGTATTTAATCCAAGGTTCCAGCAGCCTAAAACCATGACTTATCAGAACATACATTAGTTGAGAAAGGAAGGCATGGACACTGTCATTTCCACCCACCCGCCCCATTTTAAATGGGATTTAAAGCCATTCTGAAAATCATATATGCACACGGCAGTGTCTCATAAG